GAAGATTTACCACCTCAGAAACCCTATACAACAGGGTTGGTATGAGTTGGACCTGACTCCATGGTACATAACCACCACCACTGTCTGATGTGGTGATGCAGGATAATGAACTGGAACACAAGGTCGGTTTGAACCAGAGAAACCCTAGACAGAGTCTCCACGAGTCAGAACCGACGTTGTTGTTGTTAGATGCCATCAAGTTGGTAGCAACTCATGCACAACAGAACGAAACACTGTCTGGTCCTGGGCCAAACTCACAATTGTTGCCACGCTTGAGTCCATTAATGCTGCCACTTTGCCAATTCATCTCGCTGCGGGTCTTCTTTTTCTACGACCCTCCACTTAACAAACATGTTATCTTTCTCCAGAGACTGGTCCCTCTGGACAATATGTCCGATATATGAGAGACTAAGTTTGGACACCCTGGCCTCCAAGGGGCACTCTGGCTGCACTTCTTCCAACACAGATCTGTGTTGTGTTTTCAATACTCTCCTCCAACACCATCTCAAAGGCATCAACTCTTCTAGGATCTTCCTTACTCTCTGTCCAACTTTAGCATGTATATGAGGTTATCAAAAATATGACTTGGGTCAGGCGTAACTTAGTCCTCAAGCCGACATCTCTGCTCTTCAACACTTTAAAAAGATCTTGTGCAGCAGATTGGCTTAATGCAATACATCGTTTGGTTTCTTGACTGCTGCTTCCTTGAGTGTTGATAGTTGATCCAAGAAGAATGAAGTCCTTGACAACTTCAATCTTTTCTCCATTGATAAGAATGTTGTGTATTAGTCCAGTGGTGAGGATTTTTGTTTTCTTTACTTTGAGATGCATTCCGTATCGAAGGCGGTGGTCTTTGATCTTCATCAGTATTAAGTATTTCTCCAGTGTTTCTATGCATCAACTTAAATTTTTTAACAGACTCTTTCTCCCCGAGCTTCTATGTGTGTCCTGTTTTATGTTCCATATTTTTCATACTGGTGCTTAATTCTATTTCCTTCTCTAGGGTTCAAGTCTTCTAGGAGACTTTTAGGAAAGCAAGAGACATGTATGGTGGCTTAGTTTTAGTATGTGGGTCTTATTGGCTATTTCACTCTCTGTTTCCTCTATTTTATCAGTATCTCTGAATAGCAACTTCAGAAACCCAATAGGTTTGATTCACTAAGGTTCAGGAATTAACAGATTAAAAGGCTTCTGGATTCTGTCCCTATCTTTTTACTCTCCATTCAAATGTTGTTTTTCAAATCAGCTTTCTCCAGATCACAGAAAAGTATGAAATATGGAGAGCACCCTTGCTGAGACTAGCTTTTTGTTTCCAATTTTGAAAATCTGTCTGATTAACTCATTTTGGGCCAGTCAACTGGTAGCCAAGGAGAAACAATCTGTAAAATGGTAGCAGCTCCCAATTCAAACAATATAACAAGCGAAAAAGTATCTCCCTCACAGAAAGGAATCTTGTTTCAAAAACAACGGAAGAGGAACTATGACGCCTTTCTTTTCATTTTACTCATCTAATTCACATCATATTCATTCATCAGGCTAAAATGCTTTTGAGACAATCAAAGCAGTAGCAGCTTGGGTCTTTTGTTTTCTTTGAGAACCTACTATATGATAAGCACTCATAATGCGTTTTGTATAAATCATTTCAAATTCTCCTAATAATCCTGTGAAGGAATTATCTCTGTTTTAGACTGCTGCTGCTGCTGCTGCTGTGGACCATGGCTTTGGTTCTGACTCACAGAGCTACCTTATTATATAGGGGTTTTGAGCCTGTAAATCTTTATGGTAGCATAACATCACATCTTTCTCCTGTGGAGTGGCTGATAGATTCGAACTGCTGAACTTGTGGTTAGCAGTCCAATGCGTAACCCACTATGCTACCTGGGCTCTTTACAGATTCAGATTGAAAAACAGAAATAGAAAGATTAAACAAAGGTCATGCAGGTCTAGAATTTCTAATGCTTTTATTTTACTATTTCCTTTATTTTATTTTTTATTTGGAAAATACAAAGTAATGTAAAATAATTTGTATCTTCCTCTGCTATAAGCACCTGCTGAAGTTAATGAAACATATAATAAAGACAAGCACAACTGGCAATACTACTGTTTATTATTAAGTTTTCATTTTGAGAGAGAAGCATGCATTTTTACAGCACCTGTAAACAAGTCAGTGAAATATACCATTCTGGGATTCTCCATACTTATTTTGGAATGTTAGAATACCACAACACCAACTGCATTACATAATATCTACTGAAGGGAAGTCAGGCTAAAACAAGGGTAAAAATTTATGGCTAAACATATTCATAGCAGCAACTTTTAAAAGATAATTTTATTAAATCAAGTCATTGCACTTGGTCATTTTATTGCTATAGCAAAACAAGGCCATTAAATTACAACACTTCTCACTTCTGATTTTAACTGATTGTCTAATTCTGCTCAGACATTTCAAGTTTAAATGCAAGGATAAAAAGTTTGCCAAAAGAGCACTTTTTCTATTCCATAATCACAATTCAAAACTCAGTGCTGTCGAGTCGATTCCAACTCATAACGACCCTACAGAGTAGAATTGCTCCATAGGGTTTTGAGACTGTAAATCTTACTCCCATGGAATGGCTGGTGGGTTCAAACTCCTGACCTTTTGGTTAGCAGCTAAATACCTTACCCACTGCACCCCCACAATGAGTCCTCTGGTATGCCAGGCTCATTCTCTTTGTGCATGGTCAGATTTATAAAGAGGTAACAATTTTGAAATAAGACAAAAGCCTAATGGTCACACAAAAAGTACTCATAATATTGGAATACAATTAGGTAATTAGCGATATTATGTGTTTCAGAAAATAACAAACCTAGATAATACATTCACCAATAATTTGGCAACAACAAATTCCATGCTGTTCATCTTCATAGACTGTCATTTACACTCACACTGAAAAAGAGAAATAATTCAATGATTGACTCCTAGGTAAAGATTATTATTATTACATACCATTTTGTGATATATACTTTGTGAATGGGAATAAAAGTTGCCATATCAAGAACAAATGATAAATTGTTAGACAAAAGGAATCAGTTTTTCCCTTTGGATTTGCTCTTTTTTTCCCTCAACTATTTAAAGTCAAGGGCATCAAAATATGATACAAATACTCCACATACTTTCTTATTTTAGGAATATATGAGCAAAAATTTTAAATGTATTTCAGTATTCATAACCATCTTGAGTTTAAGCATTAGTGTGAAATGACCACCAAAAACTTTTATGAACAGCCTGCAATCTGGAACCATCTACATCTGATTATAGAGGTGGAGAGGGACCACTTAACAGATATTCCACTGAGAAAGCTGGAGGGTGATTTCTAGGATACACTGTCAGTATTTCCATATTTATCTAAGGACTGTCATTTAAAGAATATAAAGATCGAATTTAGTTACCAAGAAGGACATTATTTAACTGATTATAATCATTTAAAAATATCAGAACAGGAGGGAACAATTCTGTTCAGGAGTAATCTCATAATGAGAAGAGCTCAAAGCCTTTAAAAGAGGTCAAATGTGTATACACCTCAATGCAGTCAGATTTTCCCCAAAACTGATGCAAGTTGTGATTTAGAGATTAAGCAACTACATGTTAGCACTTCTATTAATTAATTTCTACTTCAGATCTTTTATTTGAAACATGAGAAATTTTCAATTATATAAAATTTCAGTTAAGGTTAAAATTTAATGGAAAACTATTGGTAAGGTTGTTTAAAACATGAAATAGAAGCATGATAGTTGGTACTTAATATCTGAAAGTTATTTGCTTTAACAATGCTTAAAACCCCCATGGTTTTATATATATAGACAGAACTTTAAAATTCAACTGATCACAAATGACTCAGGAAAAACCCAATTCATTCAATTTTGGAAAATGCATTTTGAATATGGGAGACTATGTTTAGTTTTAAATAAGCTACTATATTTAATGATGTGCTAACACTTTTTATAAATTCAGTACTGAAATGAGAGTCCAAAATATCTTCATAAATGAACTAGGTCTATTAGGTAAAGTATATGATGTAAAACCTGAGTGTTTCCATGATGAGAATTGCTGTTCTAATGTTAACATTATTTAAAACCAAATGAAAGGATATGAAGAATTACAAAACCATGAAATAAGTGATGTCTGAGCCTCTAACATAAGCAGGACAATACAGCAGTAAGGTTGGTAACTGCATATGTGTGCTGTAGTTTCTAGGCACATCAAGTTAAGGGTTAAATGGTAGTAGTTTGAGAGTCCTCAGATATAGTGAATTTGAAATAAAGCTCTTATCTTCCTAAATATATTTAACAATCCAATCCCTTCTAACTAATTTTTTTTTTATGAACTCTATAGTGCAAGCAATATGAAATAATCTAAAAGGTGAAGAATTTATTTTGATTATTCCATTAGTTTTTACTCAATGCCTGGGTGAGTAATCTGGTTTATGGTTCGGACACTCCTATTTCATCACCCAACGTATAAACAGCACTGCAGACAAACAGGCACAACAGTGTACTTCTGGGTAAGAAAGCTCAAAGTAAAAATATATATATTTACAAAGTTTATATCCCTTATGTATTATGAGAAAAGTAGTGACTACAGTTATTATAAAGCTAATCTGCCCCTCTCAAATAGTATATTTTACAGATTACTTGTAAAGATACCACCATATTTATAGTATAGATCTTTTGAAAAAATAATACTACAAGTTTCAATAAAAAAAAACTATTATGAACTTTGTTTCCTTTTTATACATTCAGTAGTATTTTCAAGCAAACTAAAATTTTAAAAAAAGTTTGCAATTCCAGCACATTAAGAAATAAGGCCTCTTTTTTTTTAATATATATATATTGGCAAAACAAAATATATATAAAAAATTTACCCTCCCCCTATTTGTCTACAGCTTTTATAGTTCAATTTTTCTTTATCACAACACCAGTATTTGTTATTTCTATGTAACAAGTCAGTTGAAGTTAGCAGTGTTGCTTCCAGATTCCAGTAACATTAAGAACACTGGGTCCATGCCACCTTAGGAATACAGGACTGCTTTTTTCAGCTTCTCTATTTCCACCTAAAATAGAAAACAAAAATTGAGCAGTAGATATAGTATTTTATTTTAGTTGAAGTTTCTTTATTGGGGAATTGGTAGGTAGTTCAGGATAGAATTCTCACTGTCTATGAAAGAGATATCGCAGGTTTGATTCCTAGCCAGTGCATCTCAGGTACAGCCACCACTCTTTTGTCAGGGCAGGCTTGTGTGTTATAATGATGCTACTGAATATGTTCCAGCAGAGTTTCCAGACTACGCTAAACTAGGAAGAAAGGTCTGGTGATGAATTTCCAGAGAATCAGTCAATGAAAACTCTGATTCACAATGGTCCAATCCCACTGTACATGGATTGCCACTCAACGGCAGCTGACACGAGCTAATAAGTGTATTTTTCCCTACGTATCGTTAACATCTGATCTTACTTTCAAGCTTCTACATTTTATTTTCAGGGTATAAGAAATATGAAGAAGGTTCAAAAGAGAAGATAATGTCACAATTTTAAGTTCTTAGAATAGTGGATAGTAACAAGAGAAAAAGCAACTCTAGTTCTTTCAACCAGAAGAGTGGGAATATTTGAAAAAAACTATAGAAAAATGAGAGTCCTATAAAGAACCCTTAAAATCAAATTAACAAATGTGACCGATCTGTAATTAACCAAAGGAGAATGTACAAAACAGCAAAAATAATAAAGAAGAGACCAGGTTGGTTCTATGCTTTCACTAATGAGATTAAATCACTTAACCTCACTTAGTCTTAATTTACTTATCTGTAAACAGCTTAAGCTTTAGATTTATTTATTTGCAAAGCCGAAGAATCCAAGACCCAGTCCATATGTTAAAGGTATTTCTACTATTAATCAGACATCCTTCAATTAATAAAATTCTCAACTTAAGTAACTAAGAAAGAAGGACTTATTTAATACATTTTCACAATAAATACACAGATTTAAGTTTTATATATTACAAGTTACTAAACTGTGGATCAATGAGGTGAAGCAGAGTGCCACTGTTTCCATAGTAACATGGACTCTGCATTAGTAAAGGGTTAGGGGACTGAAGCTTTTCCATGTTCTCTTTCCATTCATTTAGAATTTTGATCATCCTTGACCTTTGACCAGGAGGTGCAGAATTATCCAGGCCTTGCCTTCTCCTGACATCACCATTTTTAACACACACGAACGCTGCATGCTGTGACTAACCTCTTACAATCAGTCATGATTAAATGAGGAGCACTTCTGCCATGTGTAAAGGTATAATGCTGATATGGCCTCGAGCTCACAGGGGATTCTACCCATGTAAGAATGATTTTCTAATTTAATTATCTTTCCAGTATTATTCTTTTACCAATATGATTATCAGCTATATATTTTAGAGGCAATGGTTGGGGGAAAACCTTAGTCTTCAACTAGATTGAGACAAGATGTTCAAGTCTTTATCCTGATGTGTCATTACTGTCTCTATACCAATAATATATTATCCAATTATATCATCTTAATGGGCAAGCATGGAAAGCATGAAGGGACAAATAAAACAAAAGCAAAAACAAAACACCTGGAAGAAAGAGGAAGAGGAGGTTGGAAGAATAACCCCATATATAGTCAGAAATTTTCTTTACAGATCACAGTATTAAATAGTTAAAAGTAGTACATTCATAATTTGGGAGGCGATATTTCTTCTTTAAACATATTATTTAAATACTTGAACGCCATATTAAGTGTGCTTTTACAAATACCAAGGGTCAAACTCTGACCATTAGGGAAAAAATTATAAAAAGCTCAGTGAAATACAAGTCAACTAGTAGCTGTTGGAATAATGAATGTTTATATTAAGAAATCACATCAAATAGCTCAAAACAGAAACAGGTCATTTTGTTGTTCTCATGATTTACATGACAAATTAAATTATATATATGCATTTATGCATCCTCGTGATGTAGTGGGTTATGCATTGTGCTGGTAACTGCAAGATCAGTGGTTCAAATCCACCAGCTGCTCCATGGAAGGACGATGAGGCTTTCTGCTCCTATAAAGATTGATAGCCTCGGAAACCCTATATAAGGTCACTATGAGAACCAATTTGAGAGCACACAACAACAAATGTATACTAAACAATGCAGTACTTTCTACTGCTGAGGTAGTGGTGGTGGTATGCTGTGGAGTCGGTTTCGACTGATAGCAGTCCTGCGTAGGGTTTCTAAGGCTGCAAATCTTTACGGGAGCAGAACGCTTCATCTTTTTCCCATGGAATGACTGGTAATTAGGTAATTAAATTTTTCCATGTATAAATATAAAATGTAAGGAATAAAAAGTCAAGAAATCATTTTTTTTTACTCTCAATTCTACATGCTACAAACTGTGAATTTAAACTATTTTTTTAGCATATTGCTGTTGTGTGCCAAGTCAGTTCTGACTCACAGCAACCCTGCATGGGGTTTACAAAGGCAGTCAGTGGACTTGAAGGTCTAACCTGCGGTTTCCAGTCTAGTGCTTAGCCTATAGTGCCACACCAGGGCTCTCTGTAACACATAATCTCTAGTACATAGTCTCTAGCAGATAATCTCCAACATTTATTAATTCAACAATAATTAGGTAACTAATGCATAGATGTAGTCCTGATGTGAGCTGGATAAGCACTGGACTGCTAACTGCCAAGGTTGGCAGTTTACACCTACCAGCTGCTCCTTGGAAACCCTATACTGGGTTGGTATACGTTGGAATGAACCCAACGACACTTAACAGCAACAGTCTGAACATAACACTATCCTAGTATCTATGGACAAAGATGAATCAGAAAAGGATTCCTCACAAACAGTTTTACAGTAAGATAGGAAAGTACTATTGATATCTGTTACAAAACTAAAAAAAAACAGTTGTCATCAAGTTGTTTCCAACTCATGGGGCATGTAAATTTGAAGGAAGACAAAATTACTTTCAACTGGAGGAAGACAAAGCTAATGATATGATGGTGACAGGATAAACTGGGCCTTGAAAATCTACAGAAAATATGCATGAGAAGATGAGGCAAAAGGACAATCCGGGAGAATATAGTGAGAAAAAAACTTCACATTAATCAACTATAAAGTACAAATTGAGGGTTAGCAAGTGAAGAGACCGAAATGAACTCGGACTAAGAAATAAAGGACCAGTTAGCCAAGCGAAGTCTGAACTTCATTCAGCAAGTTTTAGAAAGTTCCTGAAAGTGTGCGAGCAAAAAAAAAAATTGAGATTAACAATGAAAGAAACAGAGCAAGCTAAGCAGAACAGGACAGAAATAGTGGGAATAATAAAGAGATAAAAGTGAGGGAGAAAGCTAATAGGCCTGAAGGAACAGACGTAAAACAAAAGTACAATATCTGCAAATGTGCCATCAGCAGAAATAGAAAGTCAGGAAGAAAGAAAAGGAAGACAATCATGCTAAGTGTACAGTAGAACATCCAAGGAACCTACCTAATAGCTAGGAAAAGGTTAGAGGTTGGGAACACAAGTGTTTGTTAGATTTAGAGAGCAGATACATTAAAATTCATCCCTAGATTCACACGTTTAGATAATCCCTGAATGGATGTTCAGAGAGGAGGGCCCACGAGCAGGACTAAAGGAACACCCAGATTTAGGTTTACAAGAAAGTAAGAAAAGACACAAAGTTAAAGACAAAAGAACGCAGCATCACATAAACTAAGACACAGCCTTGAAAAGGTGGCAGTGGTTAAAATGTGAAAAGGTACAGAAATTAAAGAAGACAACTTTAGATTTGGCATCAGTACACCTAAAATGCAAGGATTTAGGATGCTTTTGTTGGTTTGTTTTACAGCAAATGAATCCTAATGAAAAAACAAAAGGATTATATAGATCGAGAAGGCAATTAGTTGGGCTTGAAAGGTGACTTTGTTTTTGAATAAGCAAAACTTTTTAGTATTTTCATGGTCAGAGGGAAAGAACAAATGTGTAGATATTTCAAATACAAAAGTAAAAGTGAAACATCTCATAATTTATAAATTACATTCACATATATGTATTATTTTTAACAACTAAAGCTAAAGGAGGTCAAGTGACTTGCCCAAGGTAATACAGTGTAATTTAATCCTAAAAGCAAAGAATCTGAAGTCTACATGCTTCTGTTAAACATTCCTGGCTCCACTGCTAGTTTCCTTATCCTCAAAATTAATATAAAAATCTATACAATTTATTTTGTATTCAATGAGGTACTAAACAGAAAACATCGAGTCTAATTGACAGATACTTAAGAACTCAAAGTTAGTCAATATTGTAATCAAGAATTGGACCTCAAGTCTTCCAAATGCAAGTTCCAAGTTCTCGCTGTTCTATAATGCCGACAAAAGAAAAAATGGCAAGATGAAATTCGGGAGGAGGATGAGATATTTAAATGAATGCCTCTGAAAGATGACAGGGCACAACTTTCTCTAAGATGGGAAGAAAGAAATATACAAATGGAGACTCACTGTAGAGAAAACACAAAAGGAGAAGTACACACCAGTCAAGGAACCAGTGTTGAGTGCAAAAGATCTGCAACTTGAGACTCATAAAAACCAATAAACGTGTTAGTTTTATTAATTACTATACACCTAATTCCTCACACAGTGCCTAAGAAAGTTAATGCTCAACAAATACTTTGCTGAGTGAATGAATGGAATGTGACAGGGAGTTAAGAAGAGATTAATTAAATGGCTATCAAAGCATCAGGGAGTGTTCAGCTGAAACATGACAGCATAATTTGTAATGAACTCAATCATCCAGTTGGGTTGGAGGGGAAAAAAACACATCTAGTTTATACAGACTGAAATCTCAATACTGGGAAAACAGAATTACCTCTAAATTACTTCTCATTGCCTTCTCTTCTTCCAAATCTTTTCGCAGTTTTTCTAGTTCTTTCCTAAATATAAAATATTTATTAGTGGTATTTCAATTAAACAATACATTTAACTAAAATGAACAGGATCTCTGTTGCCTACCCTTCCAGAATGTGGGAAATGTTTATACCTCCCAGAATGTGGGAAATGTTTATAAGGGAAATAACCATGCTGACAGAAAAATTTCCTGTTTTCTAGCTTGAATTGTTGAATACGACAGTTCAAAATGCCATAAAACCATGGCAAACCTATCTGAGATAAAGAAACTTAACAGAGCAACTCATGACTAAAAATAATAATAATAATAACTGCATATTTAGTGAGAATGTATTTCCTAGGATGAAAACATGTCCTAAGATAAAACAAACTAGTTTATTTGACAAGATGGCTGGACTTAAGTTTCTCTCTTTTTAAAAGATAAAATATTAAAGTCAACTAATCAATAAAGAAACAAAAATTTCAGCCAATAATCCCTCTTCCGTAACTTACATTTTCAGTTTTCTGTGCCCCTTTGTATTTTTTCACAGTCTTTTTTCCCTTCATAGCTCTAAGTATAGTCTATATTATGCCTTTTCACAAATTGTTTTTAAATCTGTTTATGCAGCTAGCTATATTTTAGATTTAAATAGCTGCATCTCTCAAACTTTGCAGTTCATTTAAAAAACAAAAGGGAGCTATAGATAAGTGATCTAATGAATAGTATTTATGTATTTATAAGTCATAATGAAATGATAATAAAGCAAAAATCTAACAACTCTACATCAGTCTAAAAAATAAAATATCACCAATAAGTGACCATCTCCAGTCCCACCTCCTCCTCTCCTCCACAGGAAACCCAACCCCAGATTCTGTATTCATTATTCTTTGACTTTGTTCTTATTTCCCATATATACAACTAAACCTTGAACACTATATCGTTAGGTTTTATCTGCTTTCAAGTTTATAGAAATAAAATAATACTGTATGTATGTCTCTAACTTGCTCCCCCTCCCCCATCATATTTTGGTTAATCTGCTGCTGTCATTGATTTATTTTTCACTGCTGTATAGTATTAATCTATCAAGCTATATCATCATATATTTCACCATTTTCCTGTTCATGCACTTCTTTGTTGGATTAAAAATAGACTCATCCATTTCATTTTATAAAACTATATACTTGAAAATAGCCTTGAATAGACTTCTAAAATATCTAAGATATGTAAATAAGTGTTTAAAAAATACATATAAAATATTCATTCTACAGCGAATTTAAGAGCACTTACATGCAATGTGTATACAGAAGCATTGTTGTTATTGTTATTATGTATCACTGAGTCGGTTCTGACTCACAGTGACCATGGAGTGCCTGGAGGGTTTGAACTGCTAGTGCTTATCCTATAGTGCTACACCAGAACTCTATGTAAGTATTAATTCATTAAACATAGCATACAAGGTCAATATAAAGAATCAGTAAATCAGGCGAGTTCTCTAACTGGTACATGGGCAGTGCCGTTCAATAAATACTTAAACAGTTGAATGAACTTACAAGCCATTTCTTATGTGTATATTAACAGCTGTGGAAAAAGGTTTCTAGAAACAAAACCAATCGACTGAATAATTGAAAGCCTACCGTGTATCAAATTTATAAACTGTTAGTATTGATTTTAAAAGTAGTCATTCAGGTTACCTTTTCTTTCATCCAAGAGATGTTTGCAAAAGAGCTCAGACTACAAATACCTCATATAGCTAATCTCAATACTGTTTTAAATGCAGAGCCCCATGCTGAGACTAGGAGGGAAGGTTGGTAATATCAAGCTGAGAAGCAACATGGGATTTCTCCAGCAATGACTCACATAGTGCAGCCCACAGAATTCCTTTAGAGGCTTCAAAGACGTCAAGAGAGGACAGCAACAAGAGAATTCTCAATCTCAGTTCAAATAATTAAATCACTTTTTAATCTATTTTACCTATTGGCTTTTTGCAGGATGATTTTTAAAATCTTAACAAATGCAAAATAAAATTCTAATATTAATGGCTACAGAAAAGATCTCTATACCAATAGAGAATATAGGTTACTCTTTTAACTCTGCTGTTTAAGAGTTGTATGGATAAGTATACAGCTGTATCTCTCAAACATAATAGTTCATTTCAAAAAAGAAACGAAGCTAAAATAGATGATCTTTACATTTTACTTTAGTTCTGCAAAGTTTCTAACTTTCAAGTATGGTATATCTTACAGAACAGCCTTAGAGATGATTCAGATCAACCCATTCATTTATAAACATCCAACTCCGCCCTAATAGAAACAGTGATCAAAGTGCTCTGAGAAGTTTAATACATAGATAACAAACCATATTCAAAATGAAATATGGCCTTTCCTATTATTTTTAGCAATAATGAGCCCCTGTGGCTGGTCAGTAGATTTCTAGCCTAAAATTGTACTTTTCTCATAATTGGCTACCGAAACAAGTTTTCCCATTCAAGCTAAATAAAAGGAGAAAAGTACTATTAGTAAAAATTTCTTTTGAAAACATACTTGTTCTATCAGAGACCCAGTAGAATACATCTTTACTATATGTGATTCGAAAGAATTCTTTAAGTTGTACTCATTAACGAAGAAAATAGGACAACTTACCCATGATCCTTTTTCAGTGCTTCTACAACGCACATCAATTCAGTAATCTGTGCTCTGAGTTCATCCAGGGGATTTTTTTTCCCATCCTCTATTCCTTTGGCTTTGATTTCTAACGGGGTTTGGAAACCAGTCATATTTGATTTACAAGAAGCACTTGCAGGTGTTGGAAGGTACGCAGGTGACTGAAAAAATAAATATTATATTTGTTTTCTGATGTCATTTGTATTTATATTTTTACATATTCAACACTGTATTGATAATTTAGTTAAATTTTTATACCAAAAAGATACATAATTAAAGCGTTCAAGGTAAAAGGTAAATTACAAACTTCTAAAAGCAATTTGCTTTAGAAACTGGAAACCAAAACCACCAAAGTGAATTACAATCACTGCTCACTCCTGGTGTGGTGCTACGGGCTAAAGCACTGGACCACGAAGGTCGGTGGTTCAAACTCTCGAGTCAGTTCTTGGAAACCCTATGTTGTTGAGTATCATGAGTCGGTTCTGACTCATAGCGACCCTATACAACAGGGTTGTTATATAAGAGTTGGAACCAACTTGATGGCACTTAACAACAAACAGCAGTATGTGAAATAGGAGTCCTGGTGTGGCATAAGCACTGGACTGCTAACCACAAGGTCAGCAATTCAAACCCACCAGTCACTCCTTGGAAATCCTATGCAGGGTTGCTATGAGTCAGAACCAACTCAAGGGCATTTTAACAATTAAACAGGACACTGAGAACTCCAAGGTGCTAAAAGGATTTTTAGCCTGACCAAAGTGAGTAATTATCCAGCCATCCTAATACAATAGATATTGTGAGGCTTTTGTGCAGTGTGTGTGTCACACACACACACACACCCTACCTGTGCCTCATCCTTCTCAAACTGTCTGCTATATAGTCAAGTACTGCAATCCAAAAGTATTCCCTTTTCTTTAAAATTCATTACTTTTTTAAGCAATAGTTAATCCCTACTCCAAGGACTTTTGCAGGAACAGAAGAAAGCCACCATTCATCTCTTATGATGGCCACTGATCACCACCACCTGGAGAGATTAATGGCATCAGCCGGAGACAGCCTGTCTAGCATGGTCAACCAAACCTTTTATAAATAGCAGATTCCTGACACTCCACAGGCCCCTACCTCATACCCCAAATCTCTAAAACTCCTCTCCCTGTTTTCCTCAGTAAATACTCTGCTCTTTGCTCTGAGCCCTGTCTCTGAATATTGGCTCTATCAGAGGTCAGTGATATGAAACCGGTTTTTGTTTGTTTGTTTGTTTGTTTTCCAGTTACAGCCATTGTTAAGATTTAACTTAGGAATGGTTTGTGCCTGGTAGGGCATCTAGAATCAAGAATCCACCACCATTAAGATGTTGTTTGCTCGTACACATTGATTATTTAATATTTCTTATATTCAAATAGCTTTAATTAAAAGTAATTATGAAGAATATAATAAATTTATGGAAGCATATAAAAAGTCCATGGCCTGACACCCTTATACTAGTTCACGAAAACAACAGCCAACCACTTTGCTGATAGCTGAAATAATCAAACTAAATATAAATGATATGATAGAAAAGCAGCCAAATGCTCTAAAATAAAATGGAGAAATGGTGTAAGATAAAATTATCAAAAACTATGTACATTTAATAGTTTAAAAAGTCAACTGTTTCATCTTAAATTATCTGTTTTATTTTAAATTCTTTTCTAAGCTCTTCACTTTCACTTAAGGTAAAATTACCAAAAACCTAGACACTTTCAATATTTAAGAAAATCATGTTCATCTTGAAAATGAAGAGTTTAGACGAGAATTTTCTTGCCATTGCTAGTTGCCTTCAAGTTGGCGCCACCTCTTGGTGCCCTTATCATCACGTCACGTGAGACAGAGAGAGAGAGAGAGACAGGGAGAAAGAGAGATCAAGGTTATGCATGCCAAGTGTGTCTGTGGTACCTCTCACTCAGCTACATAAGGAGTAAATAAGACATAGTTTCTGACCATAAAGGTATGTGTTTGATGGGAAAAGAAAAAACAGATGTACAAGATCTTTGCCTTAAAAAAATATGAACCTAAACATTTATATTCTTTATTTAAAGCAATGTAACACATTCTTAATCTCACAGTCATAGTCAACTATCAGCTGCTCCACGGGAGAAAGATGAGGCTTTCTTCTCCCGTAAAGATTTACAGCCTTGGAAACCCTGAACAGGGTCGCTATGAGCCGAAACCGACTCCATGGCACATAATAACAACAAGACATTCTTTATAAGAATTTGCAGAGAACTGTGTCACGACTCAAATTTTAGCAGGAATTATTTTTTTTCTTGGCAGAATAATTCTTCTTAAGGGACCCTTTAAATCCCACAATTTCAATATCAACTACAGATTACAGAAATTATACAAAGCCTTAGACTACAATGCACCTCACCTTTGGAGAGTAGCTTGTATCCTTTTTAAATTCAGATGCCTTTAGGTTGGCACTATCTTCTTCCTCTTTTGGTAGCTTCAAGATTTTCTCTGGGCTATGAGTTGGCTGTGATTTTTTTTAAATCAAGAAGTAATAGAACAGAGAAAGAAAATGTGGTAAGCATTTGAATAATAAAACAAGTATTTTATGTCCCTTTGTTTTCAACTGCTACTGTTCTTTACATTGCGTTACTGTTAACAGGATGACATAATTTGAAGATGAATAAGACATTTCAGATCTTCTTAGTTTGAGGATGAAAACAACTTGTCTCTTGATGACAAACATGTTTTCCAGTTAGGTCATTTACAGTACCATACTGCTAAAGAACTAGTAATATTAACAATAAAGTGTTAATAGCACCCCAGACAATGTATAAAAATCATAAAAATAAACTGTAAAAAAAACAGGACAAATACAACCCCCCCCCCCCACACACACACACAAAAGCATATTTGTAGCTCGACTGTAATCACTATTGGACAGGCAGATTAAACAGGCTCCCCCGACCCTTTCTGACACTATGCTCTGGGTTATGATCTCCTGACAAAGCCCAATAACCTTCCATTCCAAGCCTCAACTTAAGCATTTGTCCACTTGAGTATACAACTATCATTCTAATTTTTAAATTTTATTGGAGCTATAAATCTTCCTTCCTTTTTCTCTTCAGATGAACTCTGAATTTGCTAAATTCTCTGTGTTTTGTGACAGCAGAAACAACTTACAGAATGTCCACCATTGAAGCGACCAGGCAACCTTCTTCCAGGCATCTTAGGTCTATTTGCAGTGAGATGTAGTAAGTTTTCTGAGGAAGCTATATCATCAAAATTTACAAGATCTAAGGAATAAAAATAAATGTATCTACTAAGGGATAAATGCATATTTTAGAAGGTAAAAAAAATGTTTTTGAAAATTAAAAGTTGAAACAAGTACCACTACTTTTAAGGACTTACAAATTGAACTGTGCTTTTCATATGCATTTGGAAAACAACTCAAACCCTTAAAATAAACATCCTCTTCACCTGATAAGTTTTATAGTATAAGATTGTATCAACAAGATAAAGCTCATGCTTCTAATACAGACTTAAAACCTCAACAAAAAGTTCTTATTAAAGGAGACACAAAGAATGCTCATAGTCACAAAAATCTGCACCTACATTGTGCTAGTATAAAAAATTGTCATCTTAAGTTCTTATGAGTTCTATTTCTTAAACCCATAATTAATTATAACCTAGCCAAAAACTTACAAATAAAATTGGTTGTAAACTGTAAGAAGTACCCTAACATTTTTAAGGGTTTAACTATACCTGGTACTTCGCTGCATCTAATTTACATTGCTCACAGTGCAAAGTGAAAACATTATTTAATGTGTGTTTATTTATGTACAGATGTATGTAAACAGTATGTTATACCTGTGACCCAAACTGTTCATGGTTCATTGCAGCACTGCTTAAACACTGCTGTGTTTAGGACTCATAAGACAGCTATAAATCAAAGGGAAATCAGATACCAACAACAAATGTGTATGTTTAAAACAGTGATCTATAATGCTTTGGCTTTTTCTAGATGATCCAAAAATATCTCACTAAAAGAGGTGATCTTGAATTCTGAAGCCCAGTTATCTGTATAATAACCCTAAAGGCAAAGTCCAGGTATTTTCATTGTCTTTATAGTCTTCCTTTAGTCTAGAGGAAGTTTTGAGTTTTAACCATAGCCAAAAGGTTCTACATGGCAGCAGAAATCTTTGGACCACTCCAGGAGTGGATTCACTTTTCATGTTACCATTTGCTTGAAAATTCATAGAATTTTGTCACATATTTAGGTGACCCAATTCAGTGATTTGTTATTTCTTAAAGATATCTAAAAAAGTATTTATCACAACCCTCAACGTTTACTAATCCTTCATATTCGGAGTAATTACAGAAAGTACCAATGTTGGGCAGAGAAAGAGGCATTACTGTCAGACAAGATGTATTTTACAACTGAACTTATTAATGAATACTGTTTATTTTCTTCTATCTTCACATTCTAGGTTTTTTTACTTCACATCTTTGATTATGTCACTAAGCTAACATATCAGAGATACTCTAATATACTCAATTTAATTTTTATTTTGAGTCTCTTGGTAATTGTAAGCAATAATAAAATAGGAAGTTCTGGTGACATAGTGGGTTATGCGCTGGGCTGTTAACCTCAGGGTGGATGGTTTGAATCTACCAGTCACTCCACAGGAGAAAGATGAGGCTTCCTGCTCATGTAAAGATGTACAGCCTTGGAAACACTATACAAGGTCACTATGAGCCAGAACTGACTCGATGGCACACAACAACAAAACTAATAAAATGTAATTAACCATAGTAAGAAATGCAATGGCTTTAATAGTAAATGCATTATATGATACAAGAAAACTTGATTTAAATATATATTTGAGTCATTTTTAGAGCAAATATTATAAACAAAGAATCAGTGCTTTAGCAAAAAGTGGTTATACTGATGCGTATATATTGAAAACCTACCAAAAAATCTTGGAAAATATAATCATTTTGGCCTGTGGAGATTATTTTCAAATGCATATTTAAGCAATTTGCATAAAACAAAACCAAAAACATAAGAAATGATACAAATGTAATTCAAAGGGTTAAAGAAAAAGAGAAAAACAACCCGTGGATGTATAAAATTATACACCATGCTCAAGTAAAATGCTATCCATATGTCCAGTTTGGGCTACAACACCAAGACAGATATTTTCACTATTCTAGAACTCTTCTTGGGTTCTCCATTTAAGTCATCAGGTTAGTAAAATGAAACCATGCACATTTTGGACTCATGATATATCTGAGTATTTAAATTTTACCTAGAGTGAGAACAATGGATATATACTATACACATGGCATAAAAGATATGACAATCATGCAACTTTTGCATTGTCATTCTGCCAGACATGTACATTTCTGCATTTAACCTAGGATACATGGAATTTTTTAAAAATCAAAAGGAAATACCCAATTTGGGAGAAAATAAACTGAGTTTTATAGTTTGCCAATGGGAAAAATAAAGTTTAATTAGAAGAATATTTGAAACTATTAGGAAAATGTTTCCAAAATGAATTTCATTTTATGAAATGGAAAACCAAAAGGGTTAGAACAGACAAACATGTACAGTTTTAGTAAAATTACAAAGAAGAAAATCAATCTGCACCACCTATTTATACCGAATACACTATTTTGATTTCTTTTAAAAACTGTTATCTTACCAAAATGGAGAAGGGTAGGATAACTTCCTGACACGTAAGAAGGTAAACATGGCAAACAGGCTAGGAAACAAAATCTGGAAAGAAAAGTCAAGGATAGGAATGTCTAGGAAAAAGACCGAACCAAAAAAAATCATTTTACAAAGCAAGAAAAAGAAACAGTTGAAGAATGAGTAGAGTCATTTCAATGCTAAATATACAGTTATTGTGGGTTATCTAAATTTATGTAAGATGTATACTAAATTTTAGATTTATTCTTTAGTCGTTCAAGAGGGAAAAGTATGGTTAGCATTAATTTCATTATACATTAAGCTAAAATGAAGCCAATTACTCAATGAGCAACAAAACTGCTTCCAAAAATATGATTTAGGGCTTTACTCTTAAGAGGTCAGAGTAATAAATCAACAGAGTAGCACCTCATAATATAGTTACAAATTAAATTACACTACCTCTTAGTCAAGTTTTAGACATTAACATATGAAAATAATTATAAAAGAAACCAATTTAAATTTTATCATAAAAGAAAAATTTGCCAAATATCATTTAAAAATTCTGCATTATAAAAGAAGCAATACAATCTTAAAGAAATTTCACACATATATAAAAAAAATTAATGCTTCATATGATAATTGCTATAATATAACACTACCAAGGAAATGAATTTTAGAAACTAACATTTTAATCTCTGCATGGTAATCTACATTTTTGCATATATATGTTTACACACAGGTCACTTTTTAGAGTGTTTTTTACTCAACAGTGAGCCCTGGTAATGCAGTGGCCATAGGTACTCAACTGCTAACAGAAAGGCCAACTGTTGGACTCTACCAGTCACTGTGGGGAGACAGCTGTGGCAGTCTGCTTCCAAACATATTTACAGCCTTGGAAACACGACGGGGACAGTTCTAGTGTGCCCTACGAGGTAGCTATCAGTCAGAATGAATTTACTGGCAGTGGGTTTTGTTTTAATTACCTAACAATCACTTTCTAAGAAAATCCCACCCATAATTTTTTTCTGTTCAATGAACAAACATTAGACAAAACTTTCAAACAAAAATAATCATTAAACAGAAGAGAGAAAGAAAGTTCTGTACTCAACAATGAACAGACTTTTGGATCAAGTAATATGTCTCTAAAAATTTCTTTTAATCCTGAAAGAATTTATCACAGAAAAACAATAAAAAGGAAAAGAAAAGAAAAAATACTGTTTTCTATGGACACCTCATCATCTGTGTGCTCTCAAAGAAATACCTATGTTACTACTGTATTTTCCATTTTGTACTTCAAAGTAACCTGAAACAACTTTACATACCTGAAAAATTATTATTTTAGAAATATTTGCACCATAAAAGCTGTACAATTTAGCAGCAGTGGAAGCAGATTTTCCTTAAAACAATTTCTAAGCAAGTATTTGAAAAAAAAAACACAAAAAATAAGACATGGGTGTCCAAATTGCTTTGCAATTTAAAGCATTATATCATATATGAAAACATATATGAAGAATTTAAGTTACTTCATCCTATCAAAAAAGAAGTGACCTAATAGCATGAGAATCCCTAGAATCCCTATGCTTTTTCTATATGTACAAAAGTCAATTTATACAAGGGAGCTTCAAAAATTAAATTCAAGTGGGACAATTAAAAGACAATAATCACTGGCTAGAGGGTAGAGGGACATGTTACTTGAGTGGCAGGGAAGGCAACATATGAAAAGAGGCAGGGTGGCAGAAAAATGACAGGTGCAGACAGAGACAGGTATGCATGGGTTAAAGGGGATAGAGGTAAATAGTGATACACAGACAACCTTGGAACAAAAGTGTTCTGTGTGTAGATGTATGAACAGAGACACAGGCTAAATGAGTTTGGGAGGAAGAGTGGAATATATACGTATTTATATAGCCCACAATTTCACATATGAGGTTGAAAGAGGTTATTTGTACATGGAGTCCTGGTATAGGACAAGCATAGGGCCATAACTTGGCTTGAACAGCAAGTTCAGCAGTTCAAACTCACCAGCAACACCTCAGTTGGAACTGACTCAATGGCAATTAATAACAACAACCCATAGGAAAGAAGCGAGACAAATGTTGTTGCATGGACGGGATTGCAATCACTGAGATGAAACAGAGCATATGATTTGTTGAATGTAAAACTGATGATCTTTTCTGTAAACCTTCAATTTACAATTTAAAAAAGAAGACAATAGACTTTCCTCCTTAACTTTTTTTAAGTCCTCCCCGACTCTGTTGTTGTTATGTGCCGTCAAGTCGGTTCCGACCCATAGCGACCCTGCATATGGTTTCCAAGGAGCAGTTGGTGAGCTTGAACTGCCGAACTTGCAGTTCAAACAGCTTTGCAGTATGGCACGTTAACCCACAGCGCCACACCAGGATTCTGGTAGCGTAGTGGTTATGAATGGGCCTATGAACCGTAAGGTCAGCAGTTCAAAACTACCAGCTCTTCCGCGGGACAAAGAAGAGCTTTCTGCTCCCGTAAAGATGTACAGCCTCAGAAACCCTGTACAAGGGTCGCTCTGAGTTGGAACCAACTCCACGGAACATAACCACAACCACCCACTCTGTGGCTGGA